AGAACAATACAAAATCATCACTCCTTATGGATAATGAACCTTTCTTTGGGGAGAAGGTTCGATAACCCGAGTCACCGGAATTTTAGAAAAGGGTAAAAAAAAAAACCTTAAAATTTTCGTGTTTTTGTTTGTCGATATTTACGTCGACTCATTTCCCAAATTCCCGTATCCACCCCTTTTTTCTCTTAAAATTGCGTATATCGTCCAACAGAAGGAATCGGAACCGAATGTCTGGGATGGATGGGACACACGTGACAAACAAATGGGTTCTAGACTTTTATGAAGAAAGAAAAATGGAGAAGGGTAGGGGACAATACAATCTAATTTTGAAATGCTTTCATCTTTATTTGTTTTTTTTTAACACAAGGGAAGGATACCAGTTGCTTACATACGACCGGTATATTCTCACATGCATGCATTTACATTTCATACATGTCCATCTCATACATCTTTAAAAATCAAAAGAGAACAATACAAAAATTAAATTTTGGAGAGTTCCCCTTACATCGGCCCTATTCATCACGTCCGTCATTTGTTTGCTGCGGTTCGAATCTTAATCCCAGCCGTGACGCGCGTGTGCTAACATAAATCCTCGATAAAGACTTTATCTACGTAACAAAATATAATTCTATTAAATAAATAATCAAACTTGTGATTTAAAGTATTTGGCGGGATTTAACCATCATCTTATATGTTGAAAGGGGGGTAGTATTGTAGGTTTAGCATGTTATGCAAGGGAGAATGTTTTTATGCGAGTAAAGACAATAGTAAGGAAAAAAATGAAGTTGTCATTTCATGCAACCAGTCGGGATTTCGGTTTGTATCACCACAAACAACGATCCTTTAGGGCAATGATTGACCAATTATTTGAAACAGTCTCTTTTTAACGAGGCATAAACTTTAACTCTACTGTCAGACTAAACTTGAATCGTTATTAAAATGACCGATTATACCTTGTATTTTACATTTTAAGTTCATTTTAATTTCCAATTAAAGCTTTAAACTACGGTGAATGCCATATTTGACGAGACGCAGCATTCCAAAGGGTCCTTGAAATACAAACAAACAGTTTTATTATGGGAAAATTTCTTCCAATTGTTTCCGAATTCTTCCATTCTCTTATCTTTCAAACCTAGCCTATCTTTATTTCGGGCAAAAAAAAAAAAAAAGTACAAAACAAAAAAAAAAATAAAATAAAATAAAATAAAATATAATAATTTTCTCAATTTTCACAACAATGAAGACGACGAAAGTGACATGTTTTTTTTTTTCTGATTTTTTTTTTTTTTTTTTTTTTTTGATATCCGACGATTCTTTCCCAATGATAAACATGGCATTTAACAAGGTAAGTATATCTGCCGAACGGGACAAACGGGGTTCGAACCTTGGATGTCAATTTATTTCTGGTTTAGCTCTGGATAAACGTTTTTTCATTTTCATTTTTTTTTTTTTTGATTAAAAAAAGTTTAACTTGTCGAGCGTTTAGGTACTCAATCTCTTATCTGATACCCCCAAAAAAGGTGACGATTTTAAAAGAGCGTTAGCGTATAGGGAAGTTTATACAACAGAAAAATCGCGAATTAAATTGTTGGGATGTCTCACGAGCAATTCAAAAGAACAATGGGATTGACTGAATAGGAAATTGGTAAATGCGTAAATGATATGCCGATTTATGGATATATTAATTTTTTCTGGTTTAATTGAAGTGGCAAGCGAGCGTTTTCTTTCTAACACATTTTAAAACAAGAGTCAACAGGGCTAAACCATTTTGTGCAAGGGTTCGAGTTGAAATTGGTCCATGCGCGTCATTTTGCCAAGTGTTACCTATTTTTTTCTCTCTCCTCTCCCAAATATGAAGGGAGAGAACAATAAGGCTATTATCTTCAATTTTAATTACTGTATAAACAACTTTAAAACATCGATTATGAAAAAAAAAAAAAAAAAAAAAAGTACATGTACTTGATAAATTACATAAACACATCCGTACGTACATCCATCATAATTCCTTCAAAATAATCAAAATAATCAACCACACATATATTTATCCCGAAATTACAAAAAGAACAGAATGAAAAAGTATTCATAAGCAAGCAAGCAAGCAAAGCAAAGCAAAGCACAGTAACGCCAACTTAATTATTAAAATCATGTAGACCAGCATGTTATAACACGAGATTGTGCATCCTTTCCTATATAATCTAATTTAAGCTATTAAAAGCGTCTTTATTAAAAATTTTTTGCGAAACAGAAAACTTTAAAATGTAATCCTAAAAAAAACATAAAATTCTTTTTTTTTTCCAGTGTGGATTAATTCGGAATGTAACGACATTATCACCAAAAAGAACGAAAATGACAGGTCATAAGGAGGAGGAGGGGGGGGGGGTTTGCTGCGCCATAACCATTTTTTAAAAGAGGTGCCGCAGTTCCGATCTCTTCACCTCTCTCTTTAACGAAAAGATGATCCTTATGATGAGAGAGAACCTTGAATCTTTCGAATATGTAAATGTAAATAAAATAAATTGCAAAGTGTGCGGGATATTTAAAACCTAAAAAGCGCACGATAACGTAATTTGAGAGTGTTTACTAATACACAAAAAACGTAAGCAGCCTTTTCAATATAAATCATGTTTGGCATCAAAGCTCAATGCATTTTCAAACGTAACGTATCGCGTTTTAAAAATTAACCACCTACCGTTTAACGGGAAGGATCCGTTTAAGATTTACAGCTACCTGTTGTCATAATATACACACATTATGTTATATTATTTGTTTATGTTGTACCTTTCGTTGTAATCAACAAAAGATTCTAAATGAATGACTTAACCAAAATTAAGTTCGTGTTTTTTTTTTTTTTTTTTTTTTTTTTTTTTTTATCAATCAATCGTTTTCATAAAAAAAAAATTTCGACAAAAATTTTTTTTTTTTTAACAATCACGAGATGTTTGTAAATATGTATGTTTGTTGTACATTTAAAATTAATATTTTTTTTTGGGGGGCGCGGGAATTCAAAGTTTAAATTTTTTTTTTTTCTTTGTTATCTTTTAATTAATCTAAAATAGTTATATTTTTGTTGTTGTTTAACCCATCTTACATTTTAATATATATATAAAAACCACGCATGTTATTTGACATACAGTATTTTGCTTATATTAATAATTAATATCATGAGTTCCACGCGTTTTCATTATATATTCGAACAGTGAGGCTTAGGTATTAATTATTTCCTTTTTGGTCAAGTCCTTGTTCATCATATCTTCATCTCAAGAACAATGACAAAGAAAGTTACAAGGTTTTCAAGTGGTATCATGACGAATCAAAGATTCATTTAAGGTCGGTGTAGCACATTTCCCTTTCAACATCACACGAATTAGGAAGTCATACGTTGTTATCTAGAAGCAAGAACAAAATCGGTCTGGCGTTTCAATTATCCTGTCAATTTGTGAAGGGATTTGCCATCTATCAACAACATTGGGGAAGCAGGGTGAGCAAGGGAAGGGGGGGAAACTGGCAAAAGGAAACTTGAAAAGTAAATCTTTTCCTTTGAAAAGGAAAGAAAAAAGGGGTGGGTGATTCATGATTTAGGAGAGACGTAGGATTTCTCTTTTTAAGATGAGAAACCCACTGCAACCGTTCATCATTAGTACAACCGTGTGCGACCGTGTCACCCATACAAATAAAAAAAAAAAAAGATTGATTTATCGTTGTATCAAAAATTAATCAAAATGGGCAATAGATTTCGCGTTGCGTCATTTAAAACACGTAATTTTTTTTTTTTTTTTTTTATCAAAACACGTAAAAATTACAAATTGAACGAACGAGAGATAGGTATATTTCAAAAAATTTCCAAATTCTTTATTTTTTTTTGTTTAAAAAGATTTTCTTCTTTTGAATCAATCCTTTAAAGAAATAAATATACAGTATAAAAAAGCAATTCAAGCTTTAATAATAAAATTCTGAATAAAATAGATAAAAACTTTTTTAAAGTTTTTTTTTTTTTGAACCAATCACCAAGAAAACCGTTCGTTAATATATCGGTACATAATTCCTTCCGTCAAAAATAATAAACAAAAAATTCTTTTTCTTTTAGAAGAAAACAGCTCAAAGAAATTATGGTATTTGAACTATATACAACTAAATTAAAAAGAATATACATATCATTATGCTGACATCGGGAAGAAGGAACAAGCTTAAAAAAAAGACATTTATATAATACAAGGAAAAAATATAAAAATAAAAAAAAAAATATGAACAAAGAAATGAAAGGATTCGACCCTGCTTTTTTTCTCGCCCAAATACCTTTTTGTTTTCGCTCAATAAAAATTATGGAATTGAGTAAACACCATAGATTTACGCAAGAAAAGAAGAAAGAGCCAAATCGTTCCTTAGAAGTTAAAATATTTATAAAAAAAAATAAATAAAAGCTTATAAAAAATGGTTTGGTTGATTGGTTCTAATAAAATAAGGGATGCAAAGAATTCAGTTCGTTGAATTAAAAAGAACGTTAAAAGAATTGATGGAAAATATAAAAAAAGGAATTTTTTTTAAAAAAAGAAGTCTACTACTATATATCTAAAAAATTTTTTTTGGTCTTTTGTTGATTTTTTTTTTTTTTTTTTGGTTTTTTTTTTGATTTTTTGAAAAAGAAAAGAAAACATTTAATATATATAAGGGAAAAAAGAGAGAATAATATTACAAAGGGTTGAAGGGATTTTTATAAAACATGATGAAAGATCCAATATCCTTTGAATATTTTCATGAATTAAGAAGACGGAGAAAAGTTATAAAGTATCGGAGATTATATAAATGGTTATGATTATCAAAGAAAATTTCAAAAGAATTGGACCCTCCAAAGAAATTTTTTTTTGGTTTTTTTTTTTTTTAAAAAAAGTTCAAAATGATTTACAAATAAATTTTTTTTTTTTGTTTTTTTTCGTTATTTTTTTTTTTTTTTAAAAAAAAGGGGGAAGGGGGTATAAAAATAAAGAAAAAAAAAAAAAAACTATCTACAATTCTATAAGGACGATAAGAATGATAAAAGTGAAAAATATATATAAAAGTTGATATAATTGTATTTCTTCAATGAGTAAACCAAAAGGAACATTGCTTGAATAAGAGCTTTTGAGCAACGTAAATCGAAACACAATTATATTAAAAATTCGGGATTAATGTCTGTAAAAGAAGGAAAGGATTTTTTTTATAAGAGAAATCATCTATCAAAGTGATCTCAAAAAAAAAAAATTAATATTGCAAATACTTTTTTTTTAAAATGAAAGGTTAATTTATAAAATTTATTTTTTTTTTTTTTTTTTGAAAGGAAACGAATTTTGAGAGAGAAAGTTTTTGGTTTAATAACCGGATTCATCTCCACTTGCGTATCCGGAGGAATTGCTTGGCGACGGTGGGTTATATTCAGAACCTACAATCAAGGGCAAATCCGAAGTGCGCACCAAAACAGGACGAAATCCCTCGGGAATCCAGAAAAACGATCCATTGGTCTGGTTGCAACTGATTCTTTTTGTTCGAAGGACTGGTTGGGTGGGACTCTTTGGAGACGGTGGTGGGATGACGAGGAGTTCATATTCTTTCATGTTGTTTGGTAAGGCGGATTGAAGGTTATTGTTTGCAGAAGGCATTTTTGTATTCGGTCTTTGACGATTGTGTTTAATTGGGTGAAGTTTAACGAAACGCTTGTAAATAGTTCAAGTGAATATTTTCAACAAGGAGGTTTTTTTTTTGAATATTGGTTTGAAATTCTTTCAGAAATGTTTTAATTTTTCCGAAAGAATTCAATTAGTTAAAAAAAAATTGTCTGTGCAAAAAAAAAAAAAAAAGCGTTTTCACTATGTTTCAAACGAAAAAATTTTTTAAGGTTTATTGTAAGATTCTCTCACGTTAAGGTTTTTTTTTATATTAACTAAAATTAAAAAAGAAACTCGGTATTTTTTTTATTAAAAAAAAAAAAAACTTAAATATTCCTTTTTTTTTTCCTGATAAAAAAGATATTTCTTCTTTTGAAAGAAACGTTCAAAAATCTGAAGCTTTTTATAGTGAATTTTTTCAATTAACAAAGAGACAAAGGACATAAATTTTCTTAAAAAAAAAAAAACTTTTGTATTTGAGTGTATAAAAAAAAAAAAAAAGAGGTTTCACATACATATGTTACTTATATTTACAGTACTCTACATATCACCCCTTTGTTTAAGATTATCCACATAAATAAAAATTTTTTTTTTTTTTTTAAAAAAAAATTCAGTTACTTTGTTCTTGTAAAAAAAAGTTCGTTTACACATATGTTTTTTTTTTTATTTATTGTTTGTGTGGCGGATTTAAAAAACTTCGTATTTACTAAAGTGATACCATCCTCTATTTATGGGAGACAGGTGGTTGAATACCCTATCTATACTTGAAAAAAAAACAATACAATCATTTTTTTTTTTTTATTAATAACCTCTCGTAATATAATGATAATTTCCAGAGGTGGGCATGGATGATATCAGAAAGATAACATTGTATTGTTCTTTTTTATTCTCTATTCTATTTTTTTTTTTTTTTTTAAAAAAAAAAAATGACCAAAATGAAGATTCTAATATTTTGTATTCATACGAGAAAGAACGAAGAAGAAGAAGGACTTCTCGATTGTTAGTATCTTTAACAATATGATAAATGTACTCTTTGAGAGAACATTTAAAAACATTACGCAGCAAAACGGTTCCCTAGATATCATGAACCATCGTGTAACCCCTTCTCTCACATGTGTCAAATAAGTTTTTTATTTATCATCGTGAACGTTATCAACGTCACACATTTCATGACAATCCTTTGAAACTCATAGAAATGGCGTGTGTCACGATGTACGCTTACTTTTTAGTAATACATAATAACACAAAGGTCATTCTCTCCGTTGTTGACAAAGACTTTATCCTAGGAAAATCCCTTTTTATTGGATAAATGAGGGTTTTGATTTACAAATGTTGATAACCAGACGCACCTCACCTTAATGATTGTGATGATTTTTTTCTTTTTTAATTATTTTTTTTTTTTTTTTAAGGATTACCTTGTTTATCGTACAAGATGCCCCCCCGTATGTAATCCGTTTGATTTAAAACAAGGTCTTCTTTCTTCAATCTCCATTCACGGATCGCGTCAACAAAACATGAGCGGCCCGTTCTTATCACGGGTGATGATTTACAATCCAATCGGGGGTCGTACCACTTTCAAGGACTCGATTGAACATTTCATCCGACAAACCTTTATCAAATCAGTAGTCACCCGATACGTTACGTATGGTTTAGGTTTAACCGGCTCGCACATGAGGAGCTTGGACCAACGTCCACGCGACACACTCAATCAACAAAGCAACAAAAACATCGTTATGAATGGATTGTTTGGTACCCTGCATATAAAGACAAAATAATAATAAATAAATAATAGACGCTATTATTTTAAAAACATATTTTACGCGATATTGTGATTGAACACATGATCTCCTGTCGCAATAAAAATATATGCGACATGTTTGCCCATAATTTACGCCCATACCATTTTGGTAAAATTCACAAAGATATAATTGCACAACAATAAGTAAATAAAATAAAAAACTTATACCATATTTCAAATAACCTTAATCGATATTGCGAATTTATTATGCTAAGAAAACTCGTGAGTCGAATTTAAATCACGGGGAGAATTACTAGACATATAAGCGAAGAAAAAAAGTGTGTCCCCAACAAGCCAACTTGCTAACCATTGTTTGATATCCAAGTAATTATTATTCTGAAATCGAAATGGTTTCATAATTGTGATAATTTACCGGTTAACCGAAATTCAATCTATCACGACTGACCTATCATTGTAGGAAGATCGAATGCTTTTGACGGGAATCTTTTGCATAAAGTTGATCTGTGTTTCTTGTGTTTAAAACAATAATCGTAAATTAATAAATGGAAAAATTAGTCATATTGTTTATATTGTTTATTGTGGTTTCATGTTCTTGTTTGCAGTTCACACGTTATTGATTTCTCCGCTGTCAATCTTTTTTATTTTTTTTTTTTTCGATTTCGCTTAAACGTCAAACGCTGTGTACGGTAATGCCAATAGACGGTGACATATTAAACAATGTAATAAGTACATTTATTTTATTTTATTTTTTTTTTGGGAACAGGCGAAATTTCAAATTGGAACAATGTCAAATAAATAAATCGATTTATTCGGGGGATTCCATGATGTTTTATTTATTTTGAATCGACTGTTTTTCCACGCTAAATAAAAACAAGATAAAAAAAACAACCGATTGTTTGGGCACCGTTGTTTGGGAAAGTTTTAATAACCTTTCCAAGCTAACATAATATATGCATAATGGTTATCATTTAATTTTGTAATTTTGACATCACATAAAACCCTTGATGAATAAGTACAATCTTCAAATCATTTTCCTTTATTAATCAGGCTTATTCCTTTAATGACAATTTCCTAATTTATCCTCGAATGTAGATTAAAAAAAAACAATAAGGTGAGACAATAAAAAGAAAAAAAATGTTATGACGATATTTAACAATCCGTGAAAATATTTTGATTATTCAGGTAAACGTTCTCCCAACCAAAATCTATAGATATTTAATCACCTTTTATGTCCTAACCACACATTCTAGTAGGCTTCCCTTTATGGTAGTCTTGTTACTTTAAAGGAAAATACATATCTATTGTGTGAATTGAGGAGGTCACAATTTATCGTATCAGAAAACAAAACGCATAAACAGCGATGAATCAAGTAATTCACATTTACTCGAATGGGCAATAAAATGCAATTCAACGTCCAAAACGTTAGTTAATATTATCGTAAACCCAACCTAAAATTAATTTAACAATTAATCCTATTCGACTTTTTTGTGCAAAAGTTTCATGAACAATATTTTACTTTTTTTCTAAAGCTTGCAAACTTTTTTTTTTTTTTTTTTCCTAAATGTAAAAAAAGGTATGACAAACAAATATGAATTTGGATGAATAAACAAATGTACCGGGGAAATTCATATGAAAATGATGGACATTTTGACCAAAATTAACGATCTACATGCTCTCGCGCGATAATTTTTTTCTTTCATGTTCAAAAAAAAAAAAAAAAAAAAAATACCACGTTAAAATGGTGTTGATACAGTTGTAAAATGTTATCGAAACATCATTTTGTCACATCAATATACGATGAGAGTGCTCGAAAGGATTTCTTTTGGCAAAACTAAAAACAAATTGTCAAATTTTTTTTCCCATGTTTGAACAATCTTTTTGAGGGTGAATTTATTAAAGTATTTTAAAAGAAAAATGATTTTGGTTATCTGAGTGGTAAAGATTTTTTTTTTTTAGAATCTAACGTTAAAAAGGTTAGCCGAGACCTGAAAATTTGGAAAACGTTCTCGTTTAAGGAATAGTTCACATGATGCGCCCAGGTGATGAATAAAAATAATTCCCGACTTGAAAAAAAAAAAAAAAAAAGTCCGTGCGCAATTTACCTAAATAGTTGAATAGGATTCTCATTGAAATGCCCATATGCAACTCATTTTACTTCGGTATGAATGTGCTTTGACCCATTCATCTTGTGCGTCGCGGTCTCAAAGGGGGTTATCATATTGCCTCAATTACATGTACTTGACAAATAGCCAACTGGATTTGAAGTACAAAGGCATTAGTGTATATATTCTTTACGAATACTACGTATGTAATTTGATGTATGCGTATGCGACATAGCCGGATCATCCTTTTTTTTTTCTTTTCATTTCCTTCAAAAACAATAATAATAATTGTTGCGGGTTTGTCAACTTTAATATTGTGTGGGAAGACCGATTGACTCTCATTTATCGAAAACAAAAGAGGTTAAGCTGATTATATATTTCATGCTATTCAATAAAGTCGGATTGCCAACACACCTCTTGCATTTGATGAATTTCTTAAAAAAGTTTTTTTTTTTTTTTTTTTTTTTCCCGGAAAATCCAAAATTAAGACGCTTGCATAAAATATAACTGTTTTGTTATTGTAGTCTCAACGAACTTCTCAGATGATTCCACGTTTAAACTATTGTTTGAATGGAAATATTTCAATCAGTGAATAAACCCATTTGCGGAAAAAAAAGGTATACAAACAAATACTATGTTCAAGTAACTTCTTTATCGGTTGTAGATCAGGTAAAAAAATCTTAGATTCAGAAATTTGCGGAGTATTTATTACCCCGCATATTTGTTAAATTTTTTTTTTTTTTTTTTTGATTTACCCCAGAAAATTTTACCCCACATTAAAGAACGTGATTATCCCATGGGTAAATATCGAAATAACGTCAAATTAGTAATATATCCTAATAATCACAAAACATTTGAGGTTATGTTTAGGATGATATCACTCAAAAAAACCCGTTTCAACATGTCATCACATTTATCATTGAAGAAATCACACCAAGCATTGTATCAAGTTTTTTACCCATATTGTTGTCAAGTCAAACAAAATGTTTCTCCTTTGTTAATCCATAATTTTTACGACAGGTTTGTTTATGAAAACAATCATGAAATGTTAAAAATCAAGTTTGCTAACCGCAAAATGTCATGAGGGCGCAAATGAACAATTGAGCTCACAGATTTGTTATGACGATTCATATTAGATAAATTAGATAAAATAACATGACAGTGTAAAGATTTCATCTTAAAAAACAATAATAAAAAATTTTTTGTTAGTGATTTTCAAAAATTTCCAAAAATAAGCTCGTTATTAGGCAAACAATCTTACATTTCATTAATTGTAACAATTAACATTTAATAAAAGATTATTTACGAATTTACTAATTTGGTTCATAGATCACATTCAATAAAGTCCACGTTCCTTCAATTTTTGTCGCTCGATCACTTTTGATTTGTTCAATCAATTGTAATCGACGCCCCGATCCATTGGACTTTTTTTTATTTTGAAAACAATATTAAGAATTGATTTCCCGAGTTATCCATTGTCCTTTAATTAATATATATGGTCTGTTCTCCAAATTATTATCATGATATATAAAGACCGTTGTATTACAAATGACAGCAAATGTACAGCAGGTTACATATTGCATTAAGCATTAACATTGTTCCTCTTATTCTTATTTCCCTAATGTTACCTCACCTTTAAAATAAATTATTAAATTTCGATTGCAGTTCATTTAACATCAGAAATTACATAATTTTCACTAATTCATATCACATTTCTATATAATTATTAAGTATAATAAATAATTTCAAAAAAATTGATAAACATTTTAAAACTCGAATTATATATCATTGATTTTTATAACCGAAAAAAATTTAATACATACTGTAGCACAACTAAACTAACGCTAAGGCTAATAATATTAATATATTAATTTACATCTCAACTAAGTTAAATTTAAATTTAGTATCTAAGTTTTTCCTAACTGATTGTAACCTACGTCAAAAGTTAATGCCTTGAGTTAAATAGATTATCTGGTTGCGCAACCATACGTGTAGAAAGAAAGGATCAAGATTTTTGGTTCACAAGATGGGTTCGTCATGTTCAAGAACATATAAAAGAAACGTTTATACAATATTTACTAACAACGTTTCATGTTTTTCGTAATAAGTCGACGCATAATACGTAACAATTAACGCATAACAGACACCAATTAATCTATAACAAAACAATAAATAAATCCATCAACACATGACGCGATATTTTATAAAATTTATAATGTAGGTTCCATTTAATCATTTTAGACTTCCTCGTATTGTTTCATATCATGTTCACCGTTAATCTATTGTTTCAAGAATAACATTCCAACTCATCATTCATACAAATCATTTATTTGACAATACCACCATCTTTATCTTCTTTCATGTGAAAGGGTTCGGCTTTTGTTTTATTCGGTGACTATAAGGGATATATTTATAAAGATTGTTTCAAAATTTAACCGTTTTATTGATTTGATCTAAATTCGGCTTATAATTAATTAATTTGATACATTCTTTAAAAAGAATTTGTGCCTAGACCGAAAAAACAAGGTCATCGTTGTTCATCATGAAACCTGATTCGTCAATTCGGATGGTCTTTGTCGTGACAATCAACGCTTTATTATTCCTACTTTAGTACTTTTAAATTATACAAAGATAAATAATTGATATTAAAATCTGTTCATGGGAGTTCCATATTCATTATATAAATTATAACTAGATTAGGTAAATGTTTTTGCATTCTTGAAATCGTCCCCCCCCCTTTTTTTTAAAAAAGGGTTAATATAAAATTTCTATTGACGATGATCTATGGAACAAACAAATATTCAATCCTAGACGTTCATCATGGCTATCAAGACATAGGAAATCATATGATCCAAACGTGATGTTAATCCATACGTTGAAATACCATTTAGAAGTTGCCCTAGTATAACGAAAAGTTGAAAAAAATCACAACTTCGCAATTTTTGAATATTATTTTTTTTTTTTTTCCTAAAATAAAGTCGAAACCCTCCGATGACGTATGTAGATAGAAAAAAAAAGAATAAGCCGAATAAAAATTTCCGATATACATTTATTTTTTTATTTTTCCCCGATGCATAAAGCGCCATACAATATTGATTTTGAGTTTTATTTGTTTTTTGCACACACATTATTCCTTTGCGCAAAAAAATATTACTCTATCCAAAGATTTTCTATTACTTATCTCAGTATTCATCAGACTTTAAAATACACGTAATATTTTTATGCTACCTTATTAATCCAACTAGGTTTATCCCGAACTTGTACTTCATATTGTCTAGTTTCAAATATATTCTGTGCCATTTTTAACTGCTTCCTATCTTTGAAATAAAAGTGTGCAGTTTCTTGATTTATCAAGGTCCACCAAGCAAACATATTCAATTCAGAGAAACAATCAAATATTTCTTCATTATTATCCTTCTATCCCAGAACCATAAGGCCAGCAATTTCAAGAACATGTGTTTCAACAACACTTTTATCCTATCCGAAGCCATATGAGAATGATTTATAGTGATCATCCAGAGATTTATGATGCGTTATATGCTTATGTTGGCCTATAAACTTGCGAGTAAATAAATTAGATAGGGATGTATAAATCAAATAGATTATTACTGTATTTATGATACACAAATCTGCCCTATATGTAATAAAGAGCATTGGCATCTGGATGGCCACTGGTTGATCAATAGTCAAAGCAGTGAAAAATATTATTGATTTGCAATAATAACCCAGGATTCTACTTATTAAGGTGTTACTTTTATATTCTGAAAAATCTAGTTCAGATGCCAGAAGAATCTCCTGAAATTTTCAGATAAATGTATATCAGTAAAGGCATGAATGTGATCGTATATGATCGATCACCTGAAATGCGAAGTACAATATCAGAGAAATTCTTGCCAAGATTTTTATTTTTTTTTATGTCACTATACTTCTCTGCAGTAATAAGGCATCAATGGCTCATGTGAATTATTATTTGAGGCATGTGATTAACTATACCAAATTTGGATTATTTCGAGTAATATTTTTGTGTTAAACTTTTCCAAAAGTTCTGATAAGTTTTTCATTATGTGAATTACTAATAAAAAAACACATCCTGATTACATGCTGATCGTAAGTTAGAGTATTGTTAAAACAAAAATCAAAAATGAAAAAGAGTGATTATAATTTTTTTTACAGGTAATTTCGAAAAATAGTAAACATTTATTATCCTATTCGTGTTAATTTATCTAAAGTTATGTGTAGAATCAACCATTATACCATTCAAAATAGAATTAGTAATACCATATCCCTACATATACGATTCATATCTTAACCCATATTGAACAAATATTCCAATTATTATTCTTTTTTTGTAATTACAATAAAATATAGACAGAAATAGCGTACATTTCACATAATGAATTTCTTATTTTAGAAGTACTAGAAAACCCACATGATTTTTATTGCACTGTTTTGCAAGAGATATTAAAAATAAACAGTAAATTTTGTGATACAACATTACTTCATGTCATAAAACTGTAATTCGTCAGATTTTCTTTTAAGCATCATTTTTAAATATACCTCAAATTTAGAAAGAAATATTTGTTGTTATTAGATAGAATCCAGGTATATATAATAAAAAAAAATGTAATTATAAAAATAAAATAATGTAATTTTTTATTAAATTTTCATTTCACATGTAGTAAAATCTATGCCTCCTGATTTTTCTTTGCAAATGTAAGTAATTCTAAAAATCTAATTTTTTTCTAATAACACTCAAATACTTATCATACAATAAATTTTGAATAAAACATTTAAGAGATATATTTTTATTCTTAAAGAACTTTAAAATAATCAGTGGCATCATTGGCTCAAGAGGATAAGATTTAAGAATTGGAAGAGCAATTCCAGCAATTATTGGTATTGAGTAGTCTTTTTCACGAAAAGGTAAATAGTTATTTGATGATATTGTGAGTTTATTTGATGTAAATTATGATAAAATTAACTTGACATATGTTAAAAATATTCTTTGAAGTTCATTTTGAAGCTTAATTTGAGTTTCAGACTGAAGTTTTGATGAAATAATAAGGTCTTTCAAATAACCAGACATTGCAGTAATCAGATTTTTTTCTACAAATAATTTGAGCGCAATTCTAATCTCCTCTGACTTTAACTTTATAACTGCTATATCATAATCATATGCTATTTCCTTCTTGTTAGTCATGTGTCTCTAATAATTATAGCATTATTTCACAATATATTGAATAAACTCAGCTATATTGTGACATCATCCAGTTAATATAAGTGATCATATTTCAGGTTTCATCATTTACGTCATTTATATTTAAACAGTAATTAATAAATCCTTAATAATTGCTAATTTTAGATATAAAAAAGATGTTATCAAGAATACTTGCATTGGAGTTTGAGTTTTTCCAGCAGGTATTATTAGTTGTGATCTATCAGTGAGGTGATAATAAGTACTAATAATAATTTGGATTATTGATAGTTTATATATTCAACGAGATATTGCCTACAAAGTATTCCATTTTTTCCTCAAAGATGAATTGGATGCTTTAAAAGTATGTGAACATTTTGGAGAATTATCAAAAGATGATGTAGCAAAAAACTCTCCCTATTTCGGTAGTTCAAGTACTTATGCTTCATCAGTAATTTAGCATATCTATTGTTTAAGAATGGCTTTCATATCTCCAGTGATGAGTTGAGTATATGTTGAAATATTGTTCAGCTTACTGCTAAAAAGATAAAATCAATGAAATTATTTTATAAAATTATTCAATAGCTATAATCTACAGCCAGTCCTTTGGATAGGTAACAGTACCTTTAATTAATAATACAAGCAGCAACAATGTCTTTGAGAAAATATACATATCTGAGGGCTTCTACATTTAACAAAATGGTACAATTGTAATTAATATAAAACATTTCATGAAAGAAAATGACACATAAACACAAAATATCATCGGATAGCATCTCCTCTTTTTGTTATTTAATACTTTTAATGTATCCAGTGAATTCAGACATATCAGTACTATATGCTAGACGCTGACTACTAAAGTCTGATGCTTTATTATAATGAGACCATCATTCTTCTGATGCTATAAATATAACAATAGTTTTGCCAACACCACTGTGATTAGCTATTACAATAATATCTGCTTTGTCATTTCTACTATTTCTATCAATTTTAGTAATGACTTATTTTTTTGTTTTGTGAAGCTCACTATACCTTAATATTAGGTTTTCAGCATTCAGACATAAATAGATATCACCATTTGGCATAGTTGAGAAATCTTTCTTATAAAGATATTTTAACGCTTCTTGAATGGTACTGAAGTCATTGGCAATATATTTTTCAGGCAAGGGAAAATCTTAAGCACCATTAATCAAACTTAATAACTCCTTGCTCAAATCTTAGATCATTTCTTCTGCTAACAAGATGATTTGATAAAGTTTCATATTTCAGTACAATGGTTAACTAAACTAAGTATACTAACATAAAAAAGATATAAATGACATTAAAAGTAAATATTACAAAAAAAAAATTGCAATAGTTATTTGCATGCATAAGATTAGCAATGGAAATGGAGTAAACATTACATGCATTATAAAATGGAAGAAGTAATAATACACAAATAAGGTATATAAAATATCAGAAAGTTAGTATCCATTGATTAAAAAAAGCAAAGTCATTCAAGAACAAACCTTCAACTCTCTTTGACACCTTTTTCTCTGGTAAAAGAACATGAAAGAAAATATAGCTTGAGTCAATGTCACAATAGCTTGAGCTAATCAATATTACGTAAATAGTGTATAAGGAAAATAAGCTGTTTTATAAGTCAAAAAAAAGCATAAAAGGTTAGTCAATGTAGATAGAGAATGATAAAGTAACAAGCGAAGAAAGGAAAATAGATAGGCATACTTAACAGAATTACTTATGAAAGTCAAAAAAGAAATGTCAAAAAATTCTGTCATGAAATGTATTGAGAACGCAAAAGGGAAAAAGCACCATAAAGTTAGTTAAATATAATAATATATCAATTGGATGAAAACATAAATGATAGACAATAAAATGGAGAGTAAAATTTGACATTTGCTATGTTCTACTCTATACCTAACGTGTGTTGTAATAATCTCTCAGCATTACTTGTTTGCTTACCTTATATTTCTTAGAATTTCTGAAGCATTTTCCTTAAAGGAATTTGTGGGTTTTGAAAAACAAATTCTGCAAATTTTTCTAAATCTATTATACAGAAAGTAGCATAGAGATAATCTTTTCTTCTAGGAAACTCACTTTTAGCTTCTTATATAAGTATTACAAAAGTCAGTAATGTAGAGTCAATCACATTTAGGTGATTATACAAGTACTATGAAAAGGAGTAGGTGGTAATGAGTAGAGTGTATTATGTGTTATGATGATAAGTATGAAATAGCCTATAAAAAATGATAGCCAGATTTTTATTTGCCAGGTCACATATATTTATTAGGAATAACATATAATTATAACAATTAATTTCTAAGTTTCAGAATAGTTAGTAAATTGAAGAACTACTAAGATGTGATGCGATGTGATAAATTTGCTAACCTCCTTAAACTAATCCTAATTCTACTCTAATCCTAATTCTAATCCTAATCTAAAACTTAACTAATCCTAATTCTATCCTAATCCTAATCCTAATCCAAACTCTAACATTAATACTAACCCTAATAATAAATACCTAGCAAATAAAATCTGATTACCATTTTTTATAGGTAACGCTATGTTCGTCTTGAGTATGATATTATCATACTGAATTATTAAAAGTTAGCTTTAATGCTAGTAGATTAGAGTTAGATTATAATTAGGGTTAGGGTTATATTAGTAATTGAATATAAAACAACATCAACTCACATGTTATTATTCTAATTATTTTCTCAATCTGATTTTATTCATTTTATATCATATAAGTATTACACATATGTATAGTTTTTCATAACAAATAATCCATACTTATATACTTTCTAATCTTATATTTATATATAAAAAAAATATATTATATATACTTTACTAGCTGTATTATATAGGTTTGCTATATTTCCATTATATATAATAGTTATATTATATACTATACAGTCAATTCTTATAAAGATTTTAAGAGATTTGATTAGCTAATTCATTATAATAAAAGTATTTTTATTATATTTGTTTAAAAAATTTATTATATTAAGAGTTCGCTAAATCAAAAGTTGACTATATATAGTAATTATTTTTGCATTATATGTAAAATTTACATTATACACTATATAGTTAAGGTTAATTAATTAGATCTATATAATGATTAATCAAATAATAATAGTAATTTAACTATTTTAATTCAAGATCAAAAAAGGTAAATTTTATTGGATGATAATTTCATGATACATGGTAACTTACTAACACTTAAAACTGTTTTAGAATTATTATAGAACTGTAAAAAATCAAAACGATTTTATTGATTTCTTATGATATAAATTTTTATGATATATATTATGCAAAACTGCTTTTGACTAATAAATCTGAAAATATTTTAATTATTATATTAATTTAAATTTAATTTAATTGAATCATGATATTAAAAGAATATAAAATAATTAATATATAGTCTTATATATATAACATTTTTATTAAATTCTTTAATCTACTTATAATCATAAATATTTATAAAGATAAATTTAGATAGTAATACTTATTTTAAGCTTTGTTCATCTGATCATGATAAAATATATAAAAAAATAGAAAAAGTGTTAGCCTTTTTAGGATATAAATATAATAGTGAAATATCAGAAATATATTATTCTTATATTCATAATTTATTTAAAATAATAAGAATATTTAAAAATCTTTTCTAAAAATAAATATATTTAAAAGTATACAAATTTTCATAAAGATGATAAAAAAGTTTTATCCTTTCAAAATAAAAACAAATTATATATATTGTACTGTACATGACTTCCTAATATTATCTCTAAAAAGAATATAAATCATTATATAGATAACTATTTAAAGAGATGCATTACTAAAAATATTATTTTAAATAAATATATAAAAAAAAATTTTGTTCCAATTTATTGTTTTAAAAGAATTTTACATTTAGTAATATAATATACATATTATAAAAAGAGGCTAAAATGAAGTATTTTCTCATTCAAATCTCTTTTACACTCAGAAAAGAATAAATTGATATCAGTATTATATTCATATAATATTTATTCATCTAATTATAAAACTTATAAAATAATTATAGCAAAAAATTTTACATAAAGAAAGTATAAAAAAAATAATCTAATTTCTTCTCTATTATCCTAAAAATCTATTACATTAATATAATATTATGATCAGATGTTAATCTTAATAATTATAGATCTACAAATGTGTGGTAAAATAAAAAATGTCAAAAATGTCAAACATATTAAATATGTCTAACATGTTTAATATAGTTAATATGTTTAA